CTTAGGACTAATGAATCATATCTCTAATAGGTCTTTGTAGACTCGGGTTTATTGCAAGAAAAAAAAACTTAATTTGTAGAAAACTTGGAAATAATGGACAATACCTACATCGACAGCGTATTGCGTTATTCTGACCATATATGCTATCCATTTTCGCTATCCATTTTCGTAGGCATAGTATATTTGTTCATAACCAGTTTTAAAACACAACCATATAGTTTTCTCTATTGAGTCAAGATACTTTCATCGTCTATACTTGATAGTCAGATGATTCGTGATTAGATGTCACACAACACCCTTTCAGTATGTAAGTGACATCTAATTCGCATCTACTTTCGTAAACTCTTTAAACTTTGAAAAACAGAAAAGTCATAATAAGTTCATAAAATTGCTTTTATCAAAATGGACTAGGAATTCACATGAGGTCTATCCCAAGACAGTACTCATTGTCCTAAATCCATAATCGACTACTCATACATGGATAAATATAAAGCATGCATCAGAATAAGTAAAGACATAAGTATCATAAGGTAAATAACAAAGAAACAAAACCAGTATTGCAGAGAATCTCAATGTTACAAACTTGCTCCACAAAGACTTTTAAACTGTATAAAATAAGAAGAAAAGTCGAGAAAAATACCTAACTTGAAACTATTAAACTATCGTTGATCACCATTGTCCTTTTCTCCAATGCTAGCTTCTTGCAGCATGCGATGATCATGTTAGAGCTCCTCATGTTTAGGTCTCATATTATACCTTTTTAGCCTAACGTATCTATCAGATATCCTTTTAAAGTAGAAATTGTACTTCTAGAGCCATGAGGCATCATATCATATATGTGATAAGCTTGCACGAGCTCCTTATAAATAGTTAGTGTATGAAGACTAGCTTCCAGGTATTTGGTGATTTCCTCTTCCTCATAATCATAGTGCAACCTTGAAACCATCATCTTGGTTTGAAATAGGGATATCTTCCATGTGATGTACTCCATGACCGTCGGGAGGCCCTTCCATGTGCTTGCCAAAGTCGGTGTCGTTAACATTTTGGCTCTGATGTGCCCATTGTCTTCATTTTCCCTTTGTTGGGAAGATGCATCATATAGATTCTACTTTAAGGCTTTATGTGTGCGACGAGCTCCTTCTAGGTTGATATAGATAGTTATTGACTCATCATGAATGTTGTAGTATTTCATCTTCAGATGGATGACGGGTGCAACAATTTTGAGGTTTGCTGAGAAATGCATTTCTAAGCTGCAGCTGTAAACATTATTACAATGGAATACTCGAAATTATAAGTCCAACATCTTGACATATCTTCCTTCCCCAAACGAGTCACTAAACCATTGAATGCCTGCAAATTTGTATCTGTGTAGAGTGAAAAATTATCTTTCTTCAAGTCCAACTTCTTAAAGAGTTTATTGTACATAATATCTCATGAACTTCACCTGTCAATGAGAATCCTTGATACATCAAAATTGACCATGTCCGTCGTGATCATCAATGCTAAGACTTCATTGGGGATGTCGTCTATCTTTTCACCATCTTTAAACTCAAAGATAAGTCTTTCTAGCTTCTCATTGGCTAATGTCTCTCCTTTTTTATCTACTATCGTAAATCATGTGCTCTTCCTCTTCACGGTCTCTTTTGATGGTGTCTTTAGGCTCGGAAAACCTCTAGTGACGGAAGTGATGGAGTTATAACTTCTAATGACAGATACTCTAAATGGTCGTTTTTGTTGAGAAAAAACAAAACATAGAGAAAAAGATGAACAAAATAACAACACAAGAGATTAACGTGGAAACTCCAAAACCGGAGAAAAACTACGACCGTTGTCAAAGGACAACCAGAGAATACCACTATGTGAAAATTATTACAACACATAGACTATCCTCAAAGACCTCAAGGCCCCAATACACCCACACTCTCCAAAACAAATATTTAACTGCCTCTCATTACACTCTAAAATAAGAGTATAAGATAAAATAAAAAAGTCAAATACAAGCTTAAAGTGTTTTTGACTGGTACATCTTGTAAATAAAAACTTGAATCCTTATATATAGCCTTGGATTCTCTCTTACATCACTAAACTAAGTGATGTGAGACTTAGAAAAACTTTAATTCTATATATAGTCTTGGACTCCCTCTTTCTTTACAAAAATAAGTGATGTGGGACTTCTTCAACATGTATATTTTTAACCAACCCCAACAATCTCCACCTTGATTGAGAATAATACATAAATTTTCATTGTCTTCACCAACAATCATACTCCACCATAAAGAGTATAGTCACTTGAAGATACATCACTCTAAGAATTTTCACATTGTCTTCACCGACAATCGTAATTTTAAAAACTATCATACTCCACCTAAAGAAGAGTATACTTCACTTGAAGCCAAACCATATCAAGAATTTTCACATACCAAAAACCAAGTTTAAACTTTATGGTGCAACTTCCATGTTGGTAGGAAGCTCTTCAACCATCAACATAATCTTACAACACACTTTTCATCAATACCCATGTGTTAATCCTCTAGCAATAACACGTTCTTTTCCATGACAGCGGAAATGTCATGAGGACACACTTCTCAATTTTCAGATAAGACCATCCTCTCTCACAACGAGAGAGACATTTCTAGCATTTGAATCAGAACCCTTCTATGACGTTGCTCCATCAGGACACATATACTTTATATGTCCAATCTTTCCACATTCCAACATCTCATACCCGTTTCATTGTTTTTCTTCACATAAGGTCTTCCCCTAGCAACCAACACTGAGTTTGATGAAGTATTATCCTCATATTTCGATCTTCTTTCTTCAAAAATAATTTTACTAGCAACTTCTTAAAAACTCAAAGTTTCTTTCCCATATATCAAAACTGGTTTAATATGCTCATAGAAAGATGGAAGAGATCATATGAGTCTCAAAGCTTTATCTTCATCATCAATCTTGACTCCAATAGTTTCAAATTCGGAAAAAAATACTATTTAGAACACTTAGATGATCAGATAATTTTGCATGTTCATCCATACACAAGCTATGAAACTGCTCCTTCAACAATAAACGATTTGATATACCCTTTCCTTAATATAGCCCTTCAAGTTTCTCCCAAAGCTCTTTAGCGGACGACGTACCAATAACATTTGCAAGAATATTCTTGTCCAAAGACATGCAGATTATACTTGAAGCTCTCAAATGTAGTCCCCCCTACTTCTCGTTGTCCATTTTGGAAACATTTCCTTCCGATGCCTTGTGTAATCCTAATTGTATCAAAACATCTTGGAATTGGATTTTCCACAAGCCAAAATTAATTCTTCCATCAAATTTCTCTAAATTAATCTTCATTGCACTTGAAAAAATTGACATTGCAACCAAAATCTTTCTTGCAACAAACTAAAATTTTCCCAACCAACACAAAGTATAAAATTTCTTTTCTGATGTGGAAGATCAGATAAAACTGCAACCATAGAGCATAATAAAATTTATACCCCACCAAACCAAGGCTCTTGACACCACTTGTTTGGAAAAAACAAAACATAGAGAAAAAAGAGGAACAAAATAACAACACAAGAGATTAACGTGGAAACTCAAAAATCGGAGAAAAACCATGACCTTTGTCAAATGACAACCAGAGAATATCACTATGTGAAAATTGTTACAACACATAGACTACCCTCAAACACCCCAAGGCCCTAATATACTTAGGGATTTTTTTTAGAATATAAAGAAATAAGCCAATTGATTTGACCTGGATTAGATATCCATCGACAAAAAAATAATTTTACTATTCAAAACCCAGTAGAAAAGAGGGGACCGTCTACGAGAAATCATATCATATATAAAATGAAAAAAGCCTCGAAGGTTGCATCCCTGAAAATACTAGTAGGTGTTCGGAAATGGTTTGAAGTAGTTAAATAGGAGGATCACTATGACTATTGTTCTTGGTAAATTTACCCAAAAGACGATTTATCTCAAAGAGGTTTACGTATAATTATGGGAAAACGGCAATGACTATTGTCGTATTTGTAAAAGAAAAACAAAATACGTTATAAAAATTTAATAAATCGGTTGGATATTCAGGATTCACAAATTAGGTAATTTAAAGAATAATTGTCAATTATTCGATTTATTAGATACTGAATTTTGATGGACTTTTTTTTTTAACGATTCATGGAAGAATGAATCGAGGAAAAACCTATGAATATCCCAGCTACAAGAAAAGACCTCATGATAGTAAATATGGGGCCTCAACACCCATCGATGCATGGTGTTCTTCAACTTATTGTTACTCTGGATGGTGAAGATGTTATTGATTATGAACCAATATTGGGTTATTTACATAGAGGTATGGAAAAAATAGAGGAAAACCGAACAATTATACAATATCTGCCTTATGTGACACGTTGGGATTATTCAACGACTATGTTCACAGAAACAATAACTGTAAATGGGCCGGAAAATATTCAAGTACCTAAAAGAGCCAGCTATATACGAGTAATTATGTTGGAGTTAACTCGTATAGATTCTCATCTACTATGGTTGGGACCTTTTATAGCAGATATTGGTGCACAAACCCCTTTTTTCTATATTTTTAGAGAAAGAGAATTAATATATGATCTATTCAAAGCTGCGACAGGTATGAGAATGATGCATAATTTTTTTCGTATTGGGGGGTAGCCGCTGATCTACCATAATCAATGCCCCGAAAACATAAGTATTCCTCCACCAGGTTCGTCCACGGAGAGTAAGTCAGGGCCTAAGATCAGGCCGAAAGGCATAGTCGATGAACAACAGGTTAATATTCTTGTACCGCCCCTTGTTGGTCCAGAGGGACGGAGGAGGCTAGGTTAGCCGAAAGATGGTTATCGGTTTAAGAACATAAGGTGACTCCCTATTTTTTTAGGGTAAGAAGGGGTAGAGAAAATGCCTCGAGCCAAAATTTGAGTACGAGGCGCTTCGGCGCTTAAGTAATTGATTCCATACTCCCAGGAAAAGCTCAAATGACCTACAACAAGAGGGTACCTGTACTGGAAACCGACACAGGTGGGTAGGTAGAGAATACCTAGGGGTGCGAGACAACTCTCTCTAAGGAACTCAGCAAAATAGCCCCATAACTTCGGTAGAAGGGGTGCCTCCTCACAAAGGGGGTCGCAAAGACTAGGCCCGAGCGACTGTTTACCAAAAACATAGGTCTCCGCAAAGTGGTAAGACCATGTATGGGGGCTGACACCTGCCCAGTGCCAGAAGGTTAAGGAAGTTGGTGACCTGATGGCAGGGAAGTCAGCGACCGAAGCCCCGGTGAACAGCGACCATAACTATAACGGTCCTAAGGTAGAAAAATTCCTTGTCAGGTAAGTTCTGCCCCGCACGAAAGGCGTAACGATCTGGGCACTGTCTCAGAGAGAGACTCAATGAAATAGACATGTCTGTGAAGATGCGGACTACCTGCACCTGGACAGAAAGACCCTATGAAGCTTCACTGTTCCCTGGCACTTGCTTTGGGCTTTTCTTGTGCAACTTAGGTGGAAGGAAAAGAAGGACCCCTTTCGGGGGTGGGGGGGGGGGGGGGCTCAAGCCATCAGTGAGATACCACTCTGGAAGAGCTAGAATTCTAACCTTCCAAATAGGAACTTGCAGGAGTAGAGACTGCTGCAGTTAAGAAGTTACAACCTTCCAAATAGGAACTTGCCAATCCATAAGTATACCATGAAGTTACAAATGTGGTACCAGTGAACCGACCCCCCATGGCAAAATAGGCGCAAGGAAAGAGCAATAAACAAGACCAACCTGGTTTGCATGAATAATGAACTACAACAAATTCAGTATTTCGGTCCGGTTCAACACTATTCTTATTGTCATTAGAATCTGTTTTACTATTAAAAATAACTATACAATCAGCTTTTGGGGAACGAATCTGAGACTCCTTTGGACTCGCGTCCATCAATACCTCCAATTCATCGACTAAGTCGTATGACCATCGGGAACTTCTTTACTTATTTTGTTTATTTCACTACATAGTTTTTTATTAAAAATTGTATTTTAGTAGGATCAGTTCGAATTGCGTCCAATAATAATTTTCTTTTTCTTTTTTTTTCTTCGAAATATATTTTTACTTGTTCATGTTCTTGAAATAAATAAAGTCCGTCAAAATTCAAACCTGATATAGATTTTTCTGAAAATTTACTGATTAAGTTTAAAAAAACTAATTTCATTTAATAATAATTTTCTATCAAATTGATCTTTTTTCTGTTCAAATTCTGGATCATTACTATTAATAGAAAGAAGGAGACCGTGAATCTTATTTATCAAAATGTAGTTTGTTGTGTCATTTTAATTTGGAATGAAGGGTCAAAAGCCTTTTTAGATTTCTCCACGAACGCGTCCATTCAAGAAAGGATCATATATTTTAGTTAAGTATTTTGTTTTCCTATTATCATTAGACAATCTAATTCAATTTTCAAATACATCCACAGGACTAAATTTCTTATATTTATTATCTATAATTTCTGCCCTTTGAAAAAATTTATTGATTAGTTTATTTCCTTTTTCTTTATTAACAGAGCTCCAATAATTAGACAATTCATTATCATCATAGGAGGTTTTATCTCTTCTGAAGAGATCTATTTTTTCCCATGATTTTCAGAAAAGTAGATAAATTAGGTGGATACGTGAAAGATATTCGTTTTTTCCATTACTTTGACATACTTGGAAATTTTTTTGTGAATTTTCATCTCTTACAACCCTTTCAAAGTGATCATTTTTTATATATCGCAAAGGCTCATTCCATTTTCAATAATCAAAAAGAGTAGTTACAAGAGATTTTTCCAACGGGACGAGTTTTTTGTTGAAAGTATTCTTTTTTTATCAGAAAGATAAAAATTAATATCTTCTTCTTCTTCGTTAGTTTCTTCCTTTTCTCAATTTATTGCAGCTTTGACTTCCTCTAGGTCCCTATCATCGTATTGCATCATTTCCTCAATATAAAAATATGAGAGTGGTGTTCTGCCTAAATAGTGTGCAAAGATAACAAATGGAAAAACAACAAATATTTTCCCCACATAATTTCGCAATTGTAGGAGAATGTATTTATCAAATCATAGTTTTCTTATATTTGATCGACTTTTTATGTTGTCACCAGACTAATACCAATCCAATACATTTCATTAAAAAGATGTGACCTATTAACCACCCAACAAAACTACTTGTTAAGAATAACAATTTATTGTTGGACCGAAACAGATAAATGTTCATTAATCTTATTAAGATTGAACTTGGAAAAAGAAAGGGGTTTAATAACTAGAAAAAAAGATTGTTAAAGAATACTTTAACAATCCTAAAATTACGTATTGAATTCAGATTCTTGTATTCAGAATCCAGTTTGGATCCCGAACCAAAATAGTTGTGTTTGTCATTTTTGTGTACAAAATTAAAGAAAAGATACAGTAGAGTTAAGATTGTTATTGTATGAGGTCTACTCAATGACAAATGCAAAGGAGCATAATAGATCGATATAAACATCATGAATTGTCCCATAATAAACCTGTTTGTTGATGATATTTTTGTTTCAGATCCCTTTCTTAAGATTTGCCCTCGAAGAAGGAAGAGATAAAACGGTCCTATGGAGAGTGTAGTCAGAAATCCATAATAGAGTCCGATCACAACGACTGAATTCAGTATTTTTACGTAGAAACCAACGAGAGAATTTCCCCAAACTAAACTATAAATCATAATACCTCCGTTTATTTAAAATGAGTGTTCGATTTGTTTTTCTTTGATATACTTTGTTTTGTTCTTCTATGTTATTTATTATATCTTATATGTTAACGTTATTGGTTATATCGTATATGTTATTTATAATATCTTATATGTTAATGTTATTGATTATATCATATATGTTATTTATTATATCTTATATGTTAATATTATTGATTATATTAAAAAAATTTCTTCTGATCTAAAGAACAAAAGAAACATCTTCTTCTTGTTAATTTGAAAAATAATTAATAATATAAACTTCAATAATTCATCATTTCTAAATAAATAACTAATTTCTTTATTTATTCTTTTATGTGTTATTTTTCTTTGCTTCGTTCTTATATGTTATTCTTTTTTGTGTTCTTTTTCTTTGTGGTCCCTTCCGCGGAGGGTGGGTTCTCTGCCCCTACAGGGATGGAGCAAAAGAAGTTTAGAGAATTAAAGAGAAGGTCACGACGAGACGACCCGTTTTTCATTAACGATAGGAGTCAAGTGGAATAGTAGTAATGTATGTAGTTGAGGCATCCTAACAGACCAATAGACTTGAATCTTGTTCCTACATGACCTGTCAATTCGATCAGGCACTCGCCATTTATTTTTATTGTTCAACTCTTTGATAACATGAAAAAACCAAAACCTTTGTCCCCTATCCCTTGAATAGATAGGGATGGAAGGGCAGCGGCCTTTGGTGTCCTCTCCAGTCAAGAATTAGGACCTCACACTCATAATGAAAAGTCAATATGCTTTTCTCTCATGTCTTTCTTTTGTTTATGGTTCAATATTCTGGTGTCAGGGAGATTTTACCCGTTGGTGTCAATTAGGTGGTCTGTGGACTTTTGTTGCTCTTCACAGTGCTTTCAGATTAATAGGTTTTATGTTACGTCAATTTGAACTTGCTCGATCTGTTCAATTGCGGCCTTATAATGCAATCACATTCTCTAGTCCAATTGATGTTTTTGTTTTTGTCTTCTTGATATATCCATTGAGCCAGTCTGGTTGGTTCTTTGCGCCTAGTTTTGGTATAGCAGTTATATTTTGATTCATTCTCTTTTTCCAAGGGTTTCATAATTGGACATTGAACCCTTTTCATATGATGGGAGTTGCGGGTGTATTGGGCGCTGCCCTATTATGCACTATTCATGGCGCTACCATAGAAAATACCTTATTTGAAGATGGTGATGACGCAAATATATTTTGTGCTTTTAACCCAACCCAAACAGAAGAGACTTATTCAATGGTTACTACTAACCGCTTTTGGTCCCAAATCTTTGGGGTTGCTTTTTCCAATAAATGTTGGTTACATTTATTTATGTTATTTGCACCAGTAACTGGTTTATAGATGAGTGCTCTTAGAGTAGTCGGTCTGACCCTAAACCTACGTGCCTATGACTTTGTTTCTCAAGAAATCCGCACAGCAGAAGATCCTAAATTTGAGACTTTCTACACCAAAAATATTCTCTTAAAGGAAGGTATTCGTGTGTGGGCCTCCCGGAGGGGCGGGGCCGCCTACTAATACTCTAATACTTACGTTACTAATATGTCATCCTTCCGAAGGGAGGGGGGCTACTAATACTCTAATACTTACCTTACTAATGTGTCGGCCTCCCGGAGGGGCGAGGCCCACTAATGTGTGGGCCTCCCAGAGGAACGGGGCCGCCTACTATGTCAAAAAAAGAAAGTGAGAGAAACTTCATCCCTCTCTTTCCCCCCTTTTGCCTCATGTCGCCCCATGGGATAACATTGGGCAAAAAAGAGGAGCTCTTATCAAGTTGTTCCGACCTAGGATAATAAGATAGTTCATGAGATTAGTCTCACTGTCATCACTTCGCCCTTGAGCTCGTGAAACGAAAGAAGACTTCCATCGATTAACCTTGACTCGATCACCTTCGCTTCAACAATGTGCAACAGTATGAAACCCAATCACCCAAAAAGCGTGAGTTCTCCCAGGAGCTAGCTCAAGGGATATGTACCTAGTCGTGACATGAGCGTAATAATCCATTTTTTTATAACTTATAGGGGCTAAAATATTTTATTTTGGATTTTTGGCTCCATATTTGAAACGCCCTTGTCGATGATCCTTTACTGCGACAACATCTAGAGTTCCTCGAACAATGTGATATCTCACACCAGGTAAATCCTTAATCCTTCCCCCTTTTACTAAGACTATAGAATTTTCTTGTAAATTATGGTCAATACCGGGTATATAAGCAGTGATTTCAAATCCAGAGGTTAAGCGTACTCTAGCAACTTTACATAACGCAGAGTTTGGTTTTTTAGGGGTAATAGTGGAAAAGTTGATAGATAAGTCATTCTTACTGCCACTCTACAGAACCGCACATGATATTTTCACCGCATATGGCTCCTCGTTCAATTCTTTCGATGTAATTAGATCCTTTTCCTCGTTTGAAAATCTCCACTTCTTCCCCCAAATGAACGAGAACTAATTAAGTAAGTCACATTTTTTTTCATGTTTCAATTAAACACTTTCCCTTTTTTTATTCTCAAAGGAGAAATTTATTATTTTTACTTTTACCAAACATATGTGGATCTTGTTATGTTATGATCTTATAATCAAAAATCAGAAGAATAAATCTTTCTCGATTAATCCTTTTACAGCTGATTCTTCGAGAATAAAAAAAGATGCTTTTCAATCAAGTTTGAGTTTGTTGTTTTGTAATCTTCTAATTCTTTTTTTAAACTTATATTCCTTCGTTTCATCCTGTAAGATCTGACCCATTTTCTTATTTATCAAAATGTAAGGAAGGTACGTAATAAAGAAGATTTATTTTTGATCAAAAGTACTATATGAAATCTTTGATTTTTACTCTTTCTATAGGCCTTTCTTGTAAGTA